CCCCCAAGACCCTGACGAACTGCGTGGGAGATAACGCGGGCCCTCGCGAGGGATGGCTCAGGGCCGTCAGGTCTCATCCTCCCTAGGATGGCAGTGATGAGTCCACTCGGACAGTGGGCTGAGTGCAGGGAGCCTTTGGGGACGCCACCATGGCAGGGTGGGCCTTGGGGCTCACGGCCACCCACCTCCACTTCCTCATGCATGGCCAGTGGTCCACCACGCCCTCCAGGATCACGGGCCTCTGGGGCAGCAGGTAGCGCTCCCGGAAATGCTGAAGGGACGGGCAGTGCAGCCGGGGCACCGCTCCTCCCGCCGTCACGTCTGGACTCGAGGCTCGCTCCGCCCTGGCTTTCTGTTCAGAGTCAAAACAAAACAAAGTCGCGGCCACCACAGAACGCCAAAACGGGAGGCCTTCCTCTCGGAGTGTGCGTCCGTGGTGGGAGACCTGCAGTGTCACCGATAACGGTGGCAGCTGACACCTACCATCGTCGTCGGGGCTCCCACTATTATTGATTTCTTGTGACAGCGAGGTGTTTTTTCTTTACCAGTTTGTTAAAAATGTTTGTTCAATTATAGAAGGAACGTACTGCGTTCACAGAGGCTCTGTGAGAGAGGAGAGCTTCCCACCCCACGGCTGCCACTGACATGAGAGCCCCTCCTCACGAGGTGTCCCTCTCCCAGTGTCCCAGACACGTGCCTGACCCACAGGGAGTCACAGTCACAACAAGCAAGCAACCCTGCGTCTTGCGTCCGGGCACTCGGCTCGCCCACTTTCCCTGCAGTGTCTTGTCCTCGCCCGTCTCCCGACCGCGTGACCTGAGCACGTCACTGTCCCCGCGCTCCTCCTTCCTCACCTGCTAAACGGGGAGATGAGACCTCGTGCAAAAGTACCCAGTACCCAGGTGGCCCAGCATGAGCCACCTCCCGCCGCCCCCACTGCTGGACCCCGAACCCGTTCTCCGCGTTGCTGCAGCGTTAACTCATGTCCTCGCCTGCGGGTGATGCGCTGGGCAGCACACCTGCCTGTCCCCTTGTTGTGACTCCATCGGTGGTGGGCTGTTATTTTCACATATCACTCGTCAAAGACCAAACTACGTGAAGCTGACCCCACTTCTCCCCACCCAAGAAGCCATTCTTTACAGCCCACTAGACTGAGCTCCAGGACAGGTTCCAGGCCTTTCTGTACTGTCACCTCTGCACCTGACACACCTGGACCACTGCTGATGCTCGATAAAGCTGCTGAGCAAACCCCCTCTTACAGGCAGGGGAACCGAGGGGGCACAAAGGGGCTACAACACTTGCCTGACTCGCAGGCAGTGGGAGCCTGACCCTAGCAGGCTGGCTCCACAGCCTGAGCTCTCAGCCTCTCAGCTATGTCCACTGCCCAACACCAGCCCCACCACAGGCAGCAGCCTGGGCACGAAGCCACCTCCATATGCCCTTTGGACAGACAGGATGGGAATGGGCAAGGCAACCCCTGGGTCAAAGGGGACAGGTGTTTGTCCCTTGATCCGCATGTGTGCCCTGCCCTCTATAAGGTCAACCAGTACAGCATGTCCTGACCTCCATGGAAACCTTGGCCACACTGCGTGATGTGTAAAACCTCGTTTGATAATTTCATAGTCCAAAATGGCTGTTTCAGTGTACGTGCATCTTTTTCTAAACCAGAGATGAGGTTGACTATCTTCCCGCACTGTTCTCTCCTTGTGAACAGACCTGCCCAGAGGCACCCAAGGTGAGGCTGTGAATCAGCACTGGGTCTGCAGCCTTCTCAGTAAACCATGCTCGGTGTCCTAGGGTGTCCTTTGGCACGTGCACTTAAACTCCAACAGGGACATGTGCAAGGACCTAACGATGGCACGTGTGGTACCAGCCACACAGCAGCACAGGGACTGGGCAGCCAGAAAAGTGGGTGACACTTTAACCAGCCGAGCAAGGAAAACTGCACGAGATGGACTACCTGGCTGCTGCTGTCATCTGCACTGTCCCTTTGAGCTGTTTCCCTTGGGAACCACGAAGCTCCCCCCAGCCCCTGCCCCACACACCCCCGAACGGGCAGAAACTGGAAGAATGAACAGAGAGAGCAGGTGGAGCGGCTCCATTTCTGACCCTCCAGCCAGAGGTCAGCATGCGAAGGCCTCGCCCCTGGCGAGGCTGACCCGTTATTCTAGAAACACAGGGCTGTGGATGGCGCTAGGTGTGCTCACTGACCAACCCACAAGATACCTTCGTGATGGGCGGCTCCTGGGTTGGGCCTCGGGCAGGCCTTTTTCCAGAGAGAAGGTGCGTCTGGAGGACGGCAGCGACTCTAATGAGGATGTCCTCAAAGATGGCCGCCCCCATCAGCAGGCCCATGTCACAGACTTTCAGGGCCGTGGCCACGGTGGTAGCGTCCCCAGGCGCCTCACACAGACACATGGTTTTCAGAAGGCAGCCGAAGGAGTACACACGACGCCAGTCCTTGTCCACGTCCTGCCAGGCCCCGGTGTTGAGTCTCTCCCAGCTGTAGTCGAGGATGACCTCGCTTGTCTGCAGACACTCGGCCCTCCGGCCCCTGTAGAAGAGGTCGGTGGCCTGCTGCAGCAGCAGCGCCACGCCCCTCTCCACTCTCTCGCTGAGGTCCAGCCGCAGCTCCTCTTTAGTGCCGGGCAGGAGTGCCCTGAGGGCCGCCCACAGAGTGCCTGTTCCCGCCAGGGCTTCTTGGCTGATGTCCTCGGCCATCAGGCCCACCGCCTGCTCAGTCTGACAAATGCTGGTGGAGGAAGAATTAACAGTTACAGCAAAACACCATGATGTCCACCCGCATATGTACAACTCTGTATTTTTACAAAATAAAACTGAGGGAAAAAGAGCTAGATTTGTGATGACATCCAGCGACCAAAATGTCAACCACTGAGACATAAAAACTATATAGTGGCGCCATGCACAGACTTTGTCCCCTATAGGGTCCCACAGCTCCCTGTACTTGTCCTTTGCAACACACCTCGTCTGTACGATTCTTCAACAGTGGGGTTCTCTGCTAGGCATAAACTCTGTGATGCAGGGTCCCCACCTGTCTGGGGTCAGCTTTGTATCTTCAAGGTCTGGCACTACGAGGCACGCAGTGGGATAAATACGTGTTCAGAGAGGAACATGTATGGTCCTTGTCTGGAATGCAGCCAACGTCCCTTCTCTCTCGCAAACTCCTATCCAGGTGTGAAGGCCCAGCTTAAATGACCCCTATGCGAAGCCTGCCAAGACTCCGAGCTGCTTTTATAGCAGTTGTCCCAAGGCACCACAAATACCTACTTACATGTCTGTCTCTCCAGTACCAAGGCCAGAACATGTTTGTCTCATTTCCCTGGAGCCTGCTAGCAGTCTGGCTCACAGGAGGCACTCAGTTAAGACTACTGAAGAAATGAGATCTCAACTTCTCAGGAAGAAACCTAGGAACACATAAAACCTATTGGGAAGGGAAAAACACCATAGCTGGTGCCTTTGGTGGCATTAGCCTGGGCACTCTATACAGATGGCAGGCCAGTCCTTAGGCGTAAGTATTAATATGTGAATTGGTTCTACTGCTCACAAAGATGATTATGTATGTTTAATGACCAGACAAGTCATAAACTAGGGTTATTCCAGGCAAATTGAGACCTACGGTTAACCTAGTTATAGGCGATATGAAAAAGCCTGAATAGCCTTGTATTCTCACCTTCAAGTCAGTCTTCTAGAGCTCGACAATATTGGTCTTAAAAGACCTGTTACTTGTCAAAGGAGGCTTTTTTTTTCTTCTTTTTTTTTAAGGGGGTGAGGGTGGAGATGCCAGGTATAGGAACAGCCCCAGTAGTCTTGTGTCCTGGTTTGGTAAACTGCCCTTCCAGGGTGCCACATGTATTGGCCTTATGACAGCTTTCAGGGGAAGGTCAGGTGCAGGCTGCATAACACAGCTTTCCACAGATGGCCTGTGTCTTGCCTTCTCACATGAAAGCCTGTTTGCTGGTGTGTGAGATGATAACCTCAGGGGGGAACAAAGGTTGTGTGAGGTAACATGAGGGCCCCACTGTGAACTTCATCGGAGCCACCTTACTGGCCACATTAAACACCAAGGACCATGGCTAGGCTGCACGCATGCAGATGGACTCGGTCCAGACTTCATAAACCACCACCCAGAGTGCACTTCTGTGAACCCGCCTTCGGTGAGCTGTCAGCAAACAGCCCAAGTGGGTTCCTGCTGCTTATAGGATAAAGTCTGCTGGGAAGCCACCAGTCACCCCAGAATTCTCTTAAATTATCTTTAAAACTCTAAAGCACCTCCCAGAGTGGTCTTTACATTGGCTAGGGAATCTGGCCAGGATCCCTAGGGGGTGTCGGGTTATGAAACAGCCCCGAGAGCCTCAGCCTGACCTGGAGCGGCCGGTCCTGAGACCCCTCCACGCCTGCGCCTGGCTTTCTGGGAAAGGCTGCCCATCGTTCTGTACGTCCTGCAGTTTCACTACGGCGGAAACTGCAGAAGCGAGAGCTCTGTAACGCCTCCCAGAAGCTGCGTCCACCGGCACGAGGCTCCCGCCGGGGTGGCCTCAAGCCCTCCCTGCCTCCTGGCCTTGGGCTTGGCGGCTCCCCGAGCCCGCCGACTCACCGTGCCGCGATGACTCCCGCGGGGAGGGAAAGCCCGCCCTGCGCCCGGCGCCTCCCTCGCGGCTTCGCTCCTGGCGGCCCGCATCCGGAACCCGATGGCTCAAGCGTGTCCAGACAGCTCGCGCTCAGGCCTCCGCCAACGGTCCACCGGCCTGGGACCGCCGGCCGGCAGCTCGCA